TTAAAAAAAAAAAAAAAAAAAAAAAAAAAAAAAAAAACTATAATATATTGTATATAGAGTATAATAATGTGATTTGTCATAATTTTTAGATATATATTTATTATAATAAACCTGAAACGATTTATACTACGATATGATACGAGTCGCACCTCTTGAAATTTCCCTCACTTTGAATTCAGTCCCCTCCCATCACCACTTTCAATTCAGTCTTTGAAAACAAAAGAAGAAACAAAGTCACGATATCTTGTTATTTTTTTCAATTTGCTGAAACCAAACTGGCATACATCTGGACATAGACTAAGCGTGCTGTTGACAAGGAAGCAGTTAATGGATGATTTTACGAAACAACCTCTAATATTTATTCATCATCGTCCGTATGGCTTTGTTGCTGCACTTGCACGATATCGATGGCGTTTAGTCACCAGTTCTCAACAGTTTTCAGATCAGTGGCAATGATTTCAGGCATCTTCCATAGAAACGCTTTGCTCAACCTCTTTCCTTACATCTTAGGTTATAGAAATTAAAATTATATATGTATATACTTTGAATACAAGATTTCTGTCTTTGAAAGGTTAATGAATTTATTTATCTTGATATACAATAATAAACTTAACATCATTGCTATGTCGTAGTAGATGATGTGAAGCTGTTTTGTAAGGCGTTTCATTCCATTGGTCAAGCAATCAATATGTTCTTGAAATACTACGCAACAACACCTACATCGAAGAATCTCATCTAGTTCACTCTAAACGAATAAGGTAACCTCGGCGCGTGCGCGAGGGTCCAAACTTAATCGTGAGACTCTGTCCGTCATATATACTCCCAAAGAGGCAATTCGTATTATTAAAAAGATCATATCTCGATCTTTTAAAGGTGAATATAAAGCATTTTTGTTAGCGTTAAAAAGTTCTTCTATCCCTTCGCTTTAAACCACTGTTTATTTAAACGGCTACTTTCTCTTCAGATTCTGCGAGATTAAAGCGCTCTACGGGATCATGAATGATGAGTTTTGCGATAAAATTGCGATAAAAATAGAGTCAGCTTGTTCCATTCAAAATGCTTTATTTTATTACTTTAATTATCTAAAATATTTTTTTTCGTCTTCTTCTTCTTCTAACTATAAATCTCTACATTATCGCCTTGAAAATTTGTCTTTTTGTTTTATTTCTTTATTTTAAAGTGTTTGCTAGGCTTCTTTTTAGTCAGCCTAAGCCTAGAGCCTTCTCTGCAGTGTGTTTAACTTCAAGCCGTACACTTATATCTTAGCGCATATGACCTTAACTTGTATAGATTATCAACTTGGCCGTATACGCCTTGCATCGCTTTACTTTAGTCCACTCTTATATTCTGCAACAAATACAAAATAAATTTGATTAATAAGAATATGAACGGGCGATTATTAGAATGATTACCTAGATATACCTTTTATTTGAGTATGTTTACATATATATAGTGTTGTTGTCAATGGTAAATACTTTTTTTTTACCGGAGACAATCCAAAATATTTGCATCCAGCAGTGACAGCTATGCCTTAGTGAAGACAACAACCTCAGTAATCTTCTTTGTAATCAGGTGGTAGGCAATTCGTCTTATGTACAACATTTAATAATCAGACGACATCAGAGATTTTTAAACAACAACAACGGACTTGGAAACACTGAAGAAGCCTAAAAAAGCATTTTATATACCCATCATCGAACGATGAGGGTAACGCCTAGGAAGAAGCTTCAGAGACTCTACAACGTAAATATATTCTTGATCAGCGTCAAATTTTGAATCGGTTTAAGCATTTTTATCTGTCCGATTGTCCGTCGGTATAAGGTCTGTTATAAACATTCTCTTAGCCGGAAGCTGCAGCTATCGACTTGAAATTCGGCAGAAACATTGGAAGATTTTGTTGGCAGATTGGTATTGAAAATGGGCGAAATCGGTCGAAGGACATAACCACAGCAACACATAAACTAAAAATACTTCTGTTTTTTTAAAAGAAATAAAGAATTCGTTTTTTGCTATTTATTCATAAGCTACAGCAGATAAATGTACAAAAACTTGAACGAATGCTCAATGAAGCCGAAGTCGTAGTACCTGTACAAATGTGTGACACATCGATCACAGCTACCCAATATTATATTGCATGAAAATTTAATTTAATTTTTTTCTTCAATATTTTTATAAGGTACGGAAGCTTGCTCAAAGCCCCCCCACAAAATATACAAAAACTTGCGCCCGTTGTTCATGTGTTTATGTGTATCTGTGGCAAACACTGTCCTCTCCGGTCAAACCGGTCAAACGACACGGCTACAGCGCCTACACCCCTGTGAACAACTTTGCTTTCCACGATTTTTCGTTGTTACTCACAAAGTATTATTTTGAAAATAGAAAAAATTCAGCCACGCCCATTCAATATCGCAGGGTATGAGAATTCAGTTGTTTTCCTTTTTTTTTAATCTTTCCTAGGACAACGGTGATGGGCATAAAAGATTCGGTTACGACCAATTATAAGATTTTTTTTGGGCAGAGATAGTGAAGAGAAGCGTGGTAGTGAAAAGAAAGGTTATTCGAACTTGTTCGATCCTTAAGAGAATTTCATCTGACGTTTAAAATTCTTTCAAGTTCCATACGGTACGTTTGCTAAATGACTACACACCTGATTCTTCGGTATAGGAAGAAACTAAGAGTAAACACCTACAATACATTGTCAATTTTAAATAAAAGGATATTTTAGTTGATTACATTTTTTGCCTAATAACAGTACTTGGTGCGAAGAGGTGTTGAATCTTATTTTATGCTAATAAAATGTTTTTTATGGAAGAGAGCAACCGAACGATACAAACGACATTACAAACGAATTAAATTAAATACGAACGGAGATGCTATTGAGTTTAACCCAATTTACGTCTATTGGTTTGTGAAAATATCATTAAGAATTCTGTATTTTGTATTGATTACCTGTTGAGTTCCATGTAATATGGTAGCAATCACAAATTGAATCTAGTTCTGATTATGTTGAAAGTATGTAGACAGGCAGACATAAGCATTTTTCAGTTAATTTTAAAGACGACAACAGAGCAAATAATTTCCTTTTCTATTGATTTTCATCTTAGAACTTAAGACAACAGAGGATATCGTAGAAAAACAAACACACTTAAGTTTATATCCAAGCCAATTGAATTCTCTTTCTCTTTTTATTCGCTATTCTAGTGCTTACTGGTCGAACTGTCGTACATGAATTTCAAAGCATAGATGGAATTCTACATGTCTTTACAAAAGAATGCATATGACAATGTCGTTCAAGTTACGTTATTGTTTATGATGCTGACAACCATTTCACCATTTTAAACTGTTTTGCCAAGAGCAACAACTGTAATGCACGCACACTGTTCGATAGTTAGCAAACGTCAATTCAATCAAGACTCTATATTACCATGATATAAAATGTTCCCAGTAACACTACACTCCTCATTGCTTAAGCCAAATGTTTTCGGTGTGCGGTAGCTATACAGGCATTCGTCCTGACCTTGCAGATGCTTTAATAGCCAATTCAATACTTATATGCTTTCGTAGGTGTATCGGCATTGTGTAGTGAGTGTATACTATTTGAAGCACAAAAAAAAAAAAAACAAAAACAAAAAAGAAATAAAAGAAAGAAATAGTACACTTTAGCTTGTGATAACCATTGGACAGCACGCATAAGTAAACTTATTAATTGTCCAGTCAACCACATATTTGAGTATTTGTCATACTTTTGAAAATTTCCTCATAATTTTCTTCATTCTGTTATCAACTCGAAATATTCGATTGTTTTATTTTTTGTTATTAAAACTTTTGGTTTTTCGGTGGCCGTCGCGAGAGTGTGTGCATATATGGATGGATTCCAGTTACTTAAACTATAGTCTCGTAGGAAGTCGCAGCGACGACAGTCGTCGAGAGGATGACAACGAAGGCATTAATAATAAAACGAATGTTGATTAAGAAGAAAATTACTTCAATATGTCTCGGGATTATGAAGATGAAAACAAAATAAATTATAATTAAAAAACTTTACATTTATGCAAGTTTTAGTTTTTCATATATTTTGACATATTGTGATTAAACCCTATCTTAACAGTCTAAGCAGTAAAAAGAAAATAAAATTGCAAGAAGCTATTGTTGAAGTTTTTAAAATTTATCGCATGAAATTATTTAAAAAAAGGCATTTTAGCTGCTTAGAGGTTAATGACAATATGAACTCACATACCTTTTACTCATTATAGTCATCGATTATTTAGTTTTCAGATCTGTTGGTTTCACAAATTCATGAATTTGATGTTGTCTCCGTTGAGATAGAAAAGCGACTTAGTGTGTGGAGAGAGAGAAGAGATCGATTCTCAATTGGCTACAGTTTTTTCTCCAGAATCAACTGGATCGGTCGAGTACCTTCTTTAAGAATTTTTTTTGAGAAACGTCTAAGCTTTCTCGAATCATATGCCTTCAGATTGCAATTATTTCGTCTTTATTATGATTAATCGCATATTACGAAAAGTGCATTGAAACCTAAATTACTCCTGGGCTATCACATTCGAATGGGGCGCGACAAGTTAGCAAAAAGGAAGAAAACTTTGGAGATTTGGACATTTTCAGGCGCTCAAAGGAATGGCAGATATAAGAAGCTGACCTGCATCGCATTTTACATTAAGTTGGTGCAAGAGTCGAAGGCAGAAATCGCGTACAATTCGTGCATTGGTTACCTCGATGCCTGAGAACGCATGAACTCATATGATATTCATTTTTTCAGGCGAAAGCTGATGCTTCGAAACCCTTAGAGAAATGGATGAATAGCCTCTTCAAGCATGAAGAGTTCCAGTCTGACTTGGTTTTTGGACTTGTGG